TGGTCCAGGTCATGAGTGTCCTGGGCATGCAGCGCTGCAGTCATTCTGCATGGCTGCTTTGGCATCTCGTGTCCTGCAGCTGTGAAATGAGGGCCGGCAGGACCCTGGGTGACATGGAGCTCCCTTATTCCGTTATTCTGTGTCCAGAGGAGCACAGGGCAGCTGACTTGTAGGGATGATTGTGGAAGTGCCTTTTGGGGGAGGCAGAGAGGTCATCTTTGTGTGGTTGGTGGAGACATTGCCATTGGCAGTTGAAATGTTTGACTGCTTAGCAGGCCAGTTGTAAAATTTGTCTCTGGGACATCTGCCTCCTGATTTGCACCATTCACATGTGTATCGCTTGTTCATCCGTCCATCCATCCATCTGCCCATCCATCGATCCATCCATCCATCTATCCATCCATCCATCCATCCATCCATCTGTCCATCCGTCCGTCTTTCCGTCTATCTGTCCATCCATCCATCCATCTGTCCATCCATCCATCTATCCATCCATCCACCTGTCCATCCGTCCGTCTTTCCATCTATCTGTCCATCTATCCATCCATCTTTCCATCCATCCATCTATCCATCCATCCGTCCGTCCGTCCATCCGTCTATCCATCCGTCTGTCCATCCATCCGTCCATCTTTCATCCATCCATCCGTCTATCCATCTGTCCACCGGTCCGTCCATCCATCCCCCATCCATCGATCTACCCGTCCATCCATCCGTCCATCCATCCCTCCATCTGTCCATCCATCCACCCATCCTGCACTTGTATATATATATCTTTATTGAAGTCTAGTTGTTTTACAGTGTTGTGTTAGTTTCAGGTGTACAGTGTACACTTCTATATTTGAGCTCCTCCTTTGTGCCACTGCTTTTCAGGGCCTTCATGCAGCCCTTCTGGCACAGGGCAACTGGAACTCAACTCTACGTTTCCAAAGCCTTTCTCAGCTGCCCCCTTTCTGCCTTAAAACTGACCTCTCCGGCATCCATTCCTTTACGGGTCTGGGGGTGTAATACCTGCTTACATCTACACGGTCTCAGGCAGGTTCAGTGCACAAGCAGAAAGGGAGCAGCAGGCTACTGTAGGGGAAGGAGACTGAGTGCAGGAATCGGGGGCTTACACAGCCACTGGCAGAGCAGGAGTGGTGGGGTCACCAGACCCCCCCCAACTCATGGTCACACCACCAGAGTGGGAGGGCACCCAGACTTCAAGAAGTCTGCAAATGCCAATGGACCCCGTGACCTGGTCCCAGACCCTGCAAGAAAAGGGTTTCTTTCTCTCCCATTCCGGCTCCCCTCTGAGTGTGGAACATGATTTTCATCCCGAGCCCTCTTCGCAGAGGAGTCTGGGAAATGTAGTTTTCAGCCCAGGCTCCGCGGAACAGGAAGACACTGGAAGAGCCTGAGGGAGCCCAGGCCCGGCGCCCGCCGCTCCTGGGGGCTCCCAGCGTGGGGGCGATCCCCGTCACGACCAGGGTTACGTGGAAGCCACCAGGCTCTGTTTCCACGAAGCCCTTGGAGCTGCCTTGTTCACGTCGCCTGTGGTTCTCAGGTGGGGAGGGGCCCCTGGTAGGGTGCACGGGCTGCACGGTCAGTTCCTTTTCTGTCTTCCCCGAACCAGTGGACCACGGTGATCCCCAGGGAGCCCCGGGACGTTCTCTGCTCGGAAGGAGGAGCCAGGAGAAAGCTCTGGTGTCCCAGGAACTGTGCTGGGCTGTTTCCCAGAGGAAGTGGCCCTGAGATGTTCTCGCTGGGGGGTGATGCTGGGCTCAAGCCCCCGCCCACTTGTCCCCAAAGCTGGTGCTGTCTCCCAGCGGAAGTGTTGCCCTGATAGAGGAACCAAGGCTCCCAGTTCAAAGAGGGGGTCTCTGGCGTCACCAGGGAGGAGAGACCATGGAAGCCATTACCACACGTTTTATAAAATGAAAAAAATACTTTTTTAGCTCTGGCACAAGCAGGAGGGGTGGCATTGGGCCTGGAAATGTCGGTGGCCTTTTCAGCTTGTTGCAACAGAGGCCCATAAACATGGCCTGGAAAGCTTCTGGGAAACAGCTCTCTCTGCTGGCCGTGGAAGAAGCAGGTCCGCAAGCCTGCGCATCTGGGAAGAGCATCACGTCTGTTGGGATGTGAGTCCCAGACGCCCAGCCCGGATCTTTAATGCCTGTCCTGGCCACAGCCGCCCTTGGAGCCGACCATCTCAGAGATGAGCCAGAGCTCGGCTGTGTCACAGGGCAGGTGAGCCAGCGGCTGACATGGCCATCTCTCCCCATAGGCCAAGTCGAGGCCCTGGGCTGTGCCAGGCACCTGCGTCTGGCTCTGCTTCTGATGTCAAGTAGACAAGCTTCTGGTGTGGGGGCGGGGGCGCGGGGGGTGTTGGGATGTGAGTCCCAGACGCCCAGCCCGGATCTTTAATGCCTGTCCTGGCCACAGCCGCCCTTGGAGCCGACCATCTCAGAGATGAGCCAGAGCTCGGCTGTGTCACAGGGCAGGTGAGCCAGCGGCTGACATGGCCATCTCTCCCCATAGGCCAAGTCGAGGCCCTGGGCTGTGCCAGGCACCTGCGTCTGGCTCTGCTTCTGATGTCAAGTAGACAAGCTTCTGGTGTGGGGGCGGGGGCGCGGGGTGGGAGGGGTCGCTGGTGCCAAGTGCTTCGGAGGTGCCACCCACGCGCAAGGGGCTGACCCCCCTGTGTGGGGGGAGGGCTCTGGGCAGGAGCTTGAAGCCCCCCAGGAGAATCAGAGAGGCCCTGAGAAGCAGCAACTCTATTCGTGGTGGACGCCAGCCTGGACCAAGGGTGTCCTGAGTCCCTACCGTGCCCCTCCCTCAGCAGAGGTGGGCAAATCCTCATCCCCCAGGTTTCTGGCCCCTTGATTAAAGTGACAGAGGTGTGCAGCAAAGCCGAGTTGTAGAAATGACACCGCTGGAACAGGGGACCTCAGAACCCTGGAATCTGGGCATTACGGTGCCTTGCAGGGAACTGTGGGCGGGGCCGGGGGTTGGTGTGTGTTTAGTGATGGATAGCAGCTTCAATTCGCTTCCACCCTGGTCCCCCTCAGAGCCTGGCGCAACCTGCCGTCCTCCCCTCATGCCCAGCTCCTCATGGTGGGAATGGCCTACAGGGCACCGTCCCCCCCCTTCCTTCTGGTACCGTCCACCATGCCTGCCCTAAACGCCCCGCCTGGCACCTGCTTCCCTTCCAGGCTTCCATCTGGGTGATTCTCTTGTTAAGGACTTAACCTGGACACGCAGCGGGGCTGCATGGCCACCCACCCCCGACAGCTGTGCTGGGTTCCACATGCAACAGCTTGGCTGCAGGATTGCTCAGAACCCGGCCAAGGTCCTTTCTCACCTCCAAAGCTTTCACCCTTGTTAAAAAGGTGGAACTTTCCTCTTGAGCGAGTCTCAGGCATGTAACGACCCTCTGGGGAGGAAGGTCAGTGGGCCGGGGAACTGAACAGTTAAGGAGCCCAGAGACCCCAGGGGCAAGCTTGTGTCAGCCCGCTGTTGCACCCAGCAGTGGATGTGGACTTTTAGTAGCAAGTGTCAGAATCTCACCCAAATTGGCATAAGCATGATGACAACCTGTTGGTTTGTGTAGATGAGTTTTCTTCAGGCATAGCTTGGTCCAGGAGCCCAAGCTGTGTGGCGGGAGTCTGTCCGTCCACATCCTCAGACAGGTGCTCCCCCAACCCCCAGAAGACAGCCACCCCTGCAGCTTCAGTTTTATCATCCATGTGTGAAGCCAGCAGAGGCAGAGAGGAAAAAGCCCCAGGATGGAGCTTCCTTGGCCTGGTCCAGTCACATGCCCAGCCCTGGACCAAGGCCCAGGGACAGGGTGGTGCTGTGCTCTGATTGGCCAGAGAGGCCCACATGCCCCAGTGGAGGGGGTGTGGCAGCTCCACCCACACCCACATGGATGGGCGGGTGCTGGCCACTGGGTTCCCCAAAAGCCCAGCTGCACAGATGTCCTGTCAACGCTGACTCCAAGTTCGAGTTTACTTTCTCTGCCTGGACTCCCAGGACTCTCGTTTGTACTAGCGTGAGCTGAACTTTCCACACGAAACTGGCTTTGTTTAGGGCAGGGGGGCGTGTGGATCACAAGCCTGCGGTCCTCACAGCCTGGAGGTCTGGGGTCTTTCTGATGTGGCTGGGGCATGTGCAGGCACATGGAGGCTATGTTTTGCATTTGTGGGGGACGGTTGAGCTCACCAGAATGCCAGCTTCTCCCCTGCCATCAGGGGAGAAGCTGGCTCCCTTCTCTGCGGGGCCCTGGAGGGAGGTCAGGAACTTTCCAGAAGAGATGCAGGGACCCGCCCCTCTCTTGCTCTTGGTACTGCGCTGTCTTGCCCTGTACGCGCCGGTCTTCTGGGGGCAAATAGAATCTGGCTATTTGTGTAAACTGTTATGGGGAAATTACGTTTTAATTGGATGAGGATGGGGGATAAAATGTGCCAGGGGTGTGCCCGCTGTTCTCAGTGGCACCCAGGAGGGGCACGCGCTCCGGCAGTTACGTAACAGATTTCATGAGCTGTCAGTCACTCCCGTTTCGTGGCACCAGCCTTTATAAGGCTGCTTCCATCAGCTGTGGGATCTAACACCGCCTTTCAGCTTGTGTTTGGGGTGGGTCTTCTGTGACACTAATGAGGAGAGGTGTCCGGGAGCCTGGGGCTTGCACGGCACTTGGGGAAACAAAGCGCAACGTGAGTGCAAAATCAGGGAGGCTTTGCTCCTGGTGGGTGGCTGCTTGCAGGGACCAGGTCGGGAACATTTCTGGCCGTGTGCATTTCTACAAAGTGGGGTGTCCTGCCCCCAAGAGCACCCGGTTTCTGAGCTGATCCCTTGGTATCTATCTTCTGAGTGTCAGAGATTGAGGTGTGGGTGGGGGGAGGTGGTGAAGGTTGGTTTCCAGCGCATCTAAACCCTCCGGGGGCTCGCCAGAGGATGGGCCTGCCCCGTGGGCACTCCCTTCCTGCCCGTAGCTAACCTGCACCTCCTCTTTGTCCTTTCAGCTCAGCCAGCAGATCTCCTGAAGGTTCTAGATTTTCACAACCTGCCTGACGGAATAACCAAGACCACAGGCTTTTGTGCAGCGCGGCGATCTTCCAAAGGCCCGGATGTTGCTTACAGGGTCACAAAAGATGCCCAACTCAGCGCGCCCACCAAGCAGCTGTACCCTGGTAAGAGACGGCGTGTGTGCCTGGTGGGGTGCGGCTCCATCTCCCGCCCCCAGCCAGGGAGCAGAGCCGGGAGCCGGTGGGGTGGAGAAACGTGCTTGGTTTTCCACGAATGAGCCTGGTTTGATGTCAGGATAGTGAAAACACAACCCAGCACCCCTCACCGTCCACCACCAAAGGGACAGCGGGGCCTCATCTGTTCACACTGTGTCTCCAAGCAGGTGTCTCTCCAGCTGTGGACAGGCTGTCAGGACTCCAAAGGCAAAAAGGAGATGGATGGTTCCCGGGTGACGGGGTTAAGAGAAACCCTGGGGTCACGGGAAAGGAAACGCTTCCAGACAGAAGCTTAACTGGGGGCGAGGACGTTAAGAGACACATGAATCAGACGTCATGGCTCCCAGCAAGAGAGTGCAGGCTTTTAATGAGAATCAATTGCCAAGTGTCACGTCGCTGCTTTTAGTTACGTACCCAGAGCGGGAAGTGATGTTTGCTGCTCTGATGCAGCATCCAGGTGGTCCCTGACTGCCCCCCCTCAACACCCTCGGGGCCTGTCTGGACCGGCTGACTAGGCCCAGGTTTGATTACCTCTCCCTCCACCTCAAAGGAGTTCTTCCTAACTCACATCAGAAAGGGCCCAGGGGACCTTGGGCAGATGAACTCACCTCAGGAGATGTCTTGCGATAATTAGAAGACCGTACGTCATCTTTTTGGTGACTGCATGCACCCTGGACGTTGAACCCTGAATCAGGCAATCTTTTGACAAGTAATGGCGTCTCTGTTTTGTCACATCCCCCCTGGGTCCCGGAAGGACGCACTCCTTCAGGGGCTGCATTTGGCTCCCTCTAGCCCTTTCACTCATAACTCTCTGTTTCACCCCAGCTCTTTTCTCAGCTTTCCTTTAAATCCAGTGGGACTTTTAAGGGTTTGTCTCTGCAAGAGGGGCTGGGTCTGCTCTTTCCAGGAATGTCATTTGGCGTCGGTGAGATCTGTCTGGGGCCCTGAGCCCCATCACTATCTTAAAGAGCCCCCCACTTTACCGCCTTTGGGAGCCAGACATCCCCCTTCCAGAGCGTTTGACCATCCTTGAAGACAGGGGTCACTGCCAGGGCTCCTGGGTCACTCGCCACAAAGGACCGCGGGGATTTCACTTTCCCGCACGGCCAGAGGAGTGTTTCTTATCCTTTCTTGGGGCCAGCGTATCTTTTAGAATCACCCAGACGTTGTCTGCTCTCCTGCCCTGAGTCCCCAGTTTAGAATTCCTGTCCTAGGGGGACTGAGGGGCTGGGGGCAGGGGAGGCTTGTGAGAGCTGACGGCCCCAGACGATGGTGACTGCACTTTGGGCCAGACACCCACTGCCTGACGTGTGTGTGACGTGGTCACCTTCCAAGGCCGTCCTGTGGAATTAGGTGTCCTACCTCGAGGTCATCTGTAGTTGCTTTGCTGACAATTAGTTTAATCTGATCCCTGCCACCCAATTCAGGGTCACAACCAATTCATTGGAGTTAGTATCCCTGCCTGCCCCCCGGACCCCGATTATCTTGGGGCGAGAGATGTCAGAGGATCTCCGAATACAGGCCAGTTATTGGAGAATCTGGAATGAATTCCTCAACTGCAGACAGGGATCTTTTTTTTTTTTTTTTGCAGTACACGGGCCTCTCACTGTTGTGGCCTCTCCCGTTGTGGAGCACAGGCTCCGGACGCGCAGGCTCAGCGGCCATGGCTCACGGGCCCAGCCGCTCTGCGGCACGTGGGATCTTCCCGGACCGGGGCACGAACCCGTGTCCCCTGCATCGGCAGGCAGACTCTCAACCACTGCGCCACCAGGGAAGCCCAGGGATCTTTTTTTTTTAAGCCCACGTTTTTCCTAACCTCTCAAATTAGGATGTTGATTAGATCCTCAAAGAGTTTAAAAGGCCGTTACAGGGCCTTCTAGCCATCATTAGCTTATGGGGTACAGTGGGTCCATATATAATGATTGTCTCATTAATGCCAAATAGAACTGGAGGTCTTTGGGGATGATTTAAGCGGGAACTTCTAGGGGGTCTTTTCTGCAGGCCCCAGGGTTGATGAAACCACACAGCCTCTCTGGCCTTTTCTCTCTTGGAAACCTCGGAAGGGGCACCCACCTGTCTTGCTTTTTGCTTGGATGCTGGCCTCCTGGGGAGCTGTGGCGTTTGGCTGCGTTTTAGACACTGTGTCTGCTGGGCAGCTGCAGAGGGAAGGGGTGGTGTGGTCAGGTGGCCCCAGCCGGGCTGAGGCCGTGGTGGCCTGAGTTGAGCATAAACGTTTTAAACGTCTCAGTGCAAAGGAGGTCCGGGTCCGCGTGACTTCTCCGTTACGAGAAAACCGCCATCATTCTCCTGAGAGGCCACCTGGATTCTCTGGGGATGCGGGCCGGGTGGGTCTGGGTGGGTCTGGGTCGTGGATGCGGGCTCGGGGGCCAAAGCTGAGCAGGGATCTGGGAGCCTTTGCAGGACGTGTCCCCCTTCCCCAGCCCAGACGCCGGCCTCACCCAGTCATTGATTCTCCCACTTTGTGCAGATCGCCTGCGATCCAGGCCGTTTCTTTTGGGGAAATCAAGGTTCCTTGGGCTGGGGTTCTTCAGAGGACTCGCCCCCTTCCCAGCAGGCAAAGAGGGGCAGTTTGGTGTTCTCTGCACTTGCCGGCAAGGCGGGGTCTACTGTTCCTGCCCGATCCTAAGGGGATTTTCTAGTCTTGCTTAGAGCCTGTAACCCGGGTTCTGAATCAGCAGGGGGCCAGGAGTGCAACTCCAAGTTACTGACCTTGACGGTTGGCGCCGGGTGGTCCTGACACTGGGTAGACCAGGCCGTAAGGACTCAAGCGGAACCCGGGACGGTGACGCTTTGTGGGAGGTGGAGGCCACCAACAAACAGGCGAGGGTTGCACAGCTTGCCTGGAGGCGGGCATTTCCTGGGCCTCTGCCTGCGGGCGTGGGACCCTAGAAGAAGCCGTCATGGGCCCTCCCTGAGTGCAGGCGTGTCCCATGAGGCTGCCCCGGTCCCAGGGGCTGTGCCCGTGTCCCGGCACCACGGGCCTGCAGCCATCACCCAGGTCCAGCCATCCCCTCCGAAGACATCCAGGCAAGCCAGCCTGCCCATGGTCACGCGGCCCCCTCCTCTGCTCTCGTGCCTAGGATTGGGGTCTTCTCCCCATTTCGCCTTCCCTCTGGTAACCTCGGGGCCGCTGAGACTCCCTTCCTGCTCAGGATCTGAGAGGGGGCCTGGACATAGTTATGTCCCCCGCTCAGTCTTCCGCCTTCACTCCAGGCCTGCCCTGCACCGTGGGGCGGGACCTCCAGAATCAGCCTCTGTCCAGCAGCACCTGTAACTGTTGGCTTAGTAGGGTTCAGTTTAATAGCAAATGCACTTATTAAACGCCCACTGTACACCTAAACTGCTCCGTGCCTTTGGGCTTCAGCCCGGGTGGAAAGGAAATGGTCTAAGGAAGCAACTGGGCCTCTTGCTCAGCTCACCCCTCAGTTTTGACTTCTCTCTGAGAGACAGAATGTGAAGTGTTGGATAGCAGGCGAGTTTCTCCCAGACAGTGTAGATTATAAAGTGTGTCAGCATCCGGCTCCTGTCCAGACGAGAATGAACGGTTTCTAAAGTGACAACAAATCCTTTGTTATTTTGCCAGGAGGGAGATGACTATTAAACGTAATTTCTCCTTTCAGCTCATCTAAGCTGAGAGCGTGTGTTACTGTAGCGATTTAAAAATTGGGAGGCAGCGTCTGAATGAGTCGGGAGCGAGGGCGTTCGTGGTCCTGGGTGGTGCGTCATGCTGCAGGGAGGGGGAGGGGGAGGGGCACTCCCATGTCCGCTCTTCTCGTTATCTGAGGCAGTGGGGTGACTGTAAGAGGCGTGGAGTTATCACGGGGTGGGGACGGGAGGCAGGCAACCCTTTGAGATGAGAGTGAGGGGCTCATAGGCTCACATGGTGATTGTAGTCTATCCTGGACGTGAGCAGGGACCTCTGAGATGCTTGGGGTCAGACACCACCCTGGGCCCCTTAGTGCCCGCTCACTCCCAGGGACCAAAGGGCCACCACCGAGGTCCTGCCACTGGCCTGGCTGGGGTCTCCCCCTGGGGCCTGCACGCAAATCCCTTCCCCTACCACGGCCGTTCACTCAGACCGGGATCTCTGATTCCCTCTCACATCCCACATTTGGAGGGCAGCGTGGAGGGACAGCTATGACGGTAGTGGCCTCCACAGGCCTCTTTCCAAATGGCTTCCTGTACGTGGAAGGGCAGCCTGAGTTGGTCCCTCAATGAAGCCAGCCTTTCCTCAGACAGATGACCACACTGACCTCCTCACTCTCCACCTGGACCTGGCAAACTTTGCTGGATATGGTGGCGCTCAGACATTTGCAGCACGTCTGCCCCTTGATCAAACTGTTCCTGCAGCCTTTCCCTAACAGCGCATGGCCAAACCTACCCCCTCTCCGGGAGCAGAGGCATCCAGCTGGTTCCTGCCCAGGGAGTTGGGCTGGGCCACGGTGCTGAGCACAGCAAACAGACCCCAACTTCTAGCTCCTTAACATGGGGCCAGATCCCGCCCGGGCTGTGAGCCTTGAGCCTTTCCAGATCCGCACCTTAGCCGGAGCTTTGGGGGCCGTGGGATGGATTTCTCCACCTGCTCTCCATCACAGCCCTGAAAACTCACACAACTCTGTTAGCCTTTGGGGTTTGGTTTCTCTGCCTGAAGCTGCCGTGGCCCCTCTTGCCCTCACGCTAGAGAGACCGTGTGTCTACCCTGGGTCCTCCAGGGGCTGCAGGGGCAGTTCTTTTCGTGGCATCCCCCCTCCCCTCAGCAGCGCTCACAGGGACCAGAAGCAGAGCCCAGCTGCCCCGCCGTGCAGCAGTTCCGCCAGCAGAGGGCGCCCAAAGATAGCATCCCCACTGGAAGGTGCAGTGCCACTGGCTCTGCCACGCGGGCCATCTGGTTGACCTTGTTACAGTTCTAAAGAAGGGGTGGGTCTGATGATGGGCTCTGTCCTTGCCCAGGACCGTGGGCTGGGCTTCAGCGCTCTGCAGCGAGGCAGCTTCAGCCGCAGGGCCTTGTCCTTACTCTGTCGGGTGTCCCCGTTGACACCCCTCGGGCTCGCTTCTTTGGCCTGGTTCTGAGAAGCACAGACTTGGGTTGAGCCTTCCTGGCTGTGCATCGATAGCCCAGCTCCCTTGTCAGCCCCGGGCCCTCGCTCTCGGGGGAACTGCAAATTGCACACAGAGAGAACCAGGATGGATGGAAGGAGGGGGCTGAGATTTCCTCTCCCGTCCGTGGAGGCAGGGCGTGAAGGACGTGCGTGTGGAGGATTCTGGAGCAGCCTTGCGCCCTCGGCAGGGCCAGCGCGGGTGTGGCTTTTAATGGCCTCAGATTGTTTCTGGCCTGTGTTGTAAGGAACTCTCTCCCTCCCACCAACGTACCAGGGTTTGGGTTTTCCTTTTAAATTTGAAGTCTTTTGGTTTATTTTACTTTTTCTCTGATTTGCGTGTCAACCAGGAAATGTCAAGGAGTGCAATTCTCGTCATGATTCCCTGCCTCTTGCCTTCCTTCCCCTCTTCTCTCTCTCCTCCCTCCCTCCCTCCAGAGGGCGCAAAATGAGACACACTCTGCCAGGCACAGCTCTAGGCGCTGTGGAGGGTAAAAGACGCATCTGAAACAGTGCCTGCCCAGAGGAAACTCACATTCTAGAAAGTTCTAAGAAGGTTTTATACATAGATATATTGAGGTGTGGGAACTGAAGAAGATAGCAGTGAAGGCTCACAGTTGGAAGGACCAGTCAGGTTTGCATTTGGACTGAGCCTCGGAGGGGGTAGGTTTGACCATGTGGTGTTAGGGGAAGGCTGCAGGAACAGTTTGATCAAGGGGCAGATGTGCAGCAAATACACCACCATATCCAGCAAATGTTACCAGGTCCCTGAGCTGGTTTGTTTGCAGAGAGCTGTGGCTGGGCATGGTTGGGGGCTTCCCGACTGCCTTGTCTCTGTCCTCTGTTCCAGCATCTGCATTTCCTGAGGACTTCTCCATTCTAACCACTGTGAAAGCCAAGAAAGGCAGCCAGGCCTTCCTGGTCTCCATCTACAATGAGCAGGGCATCCAGCAGATCGGCCTGGAGATGGGCCGCTCTCCCGTCTTCCTCTATGAGGACCACACAGGGAAACCGGGGCCGGAGGACTACCCCCTCTTCAGAGGCATCAACCTGTCAGATGGCAAGTAAGTGGCACCACTCAGCAACCCACTCCTTCTCCTGCTGGAGGGTCGGGGCAGGCCACCTAAAGCCCCCGGCCGAACTGGGGACCTTATAGCAGAATGTGCTTTATAGCAGGATGGTGCTGACATGCCCGCAGGTTGGAGAGAGCACTGGGCTTGGAGTCCTGGGAGCTGGGTCTTGGTCTGGGCGCATCCTCTGTGGCTCTGGGGAGGCCTTCTCCCTGGGCCTCCACGTCCCCTTTGTAAAATGCACTGAGCTGTATCAAATGCTAGCCTCTTAGTGTCCGAAGGGACACGGGAGACTGTATAGTTATACCCAGCTTCTTCCAGAAAGGATTTAAGGTATCCTCAAGGATACAGACACAGAAGCGAGAGTGAATGATTTAAAAGAAAAAGAAAAAGAAGTCAGGTCTTTCCAGAATTCTCTGTTGGACACATCCCTAAACCCCGGTAGTTTGCAATTAATAGGCTGCCACGTCTGAGGCCATGTGCTGTGATCCTTGAAGACCTCAGGACCTGATTTCTGCATTTCTAATTGAGAGTTTCACGTAGATCCATCAGTCCCACCGTTTCCTGTCAGACTCGGTTTGTCCGGCAGTCTGCATTGGCTGTTGGGGGTTGAGATGGTACATAGGGAATTACTATCAGGTCTCCCCGCCCTTGACCCACTGACCAGCCCACTCCAGGGTTCAGGGCTGTGCTCCGGGCTGCACAGCTGGTCTCATCCCAGAGATGAGAGACCTGATTTTTGAGTCCAGTGGGTCTCACGTGGCACGCGGTGTGGACCTGTGCCCACGCCTGTCTGCCCACAGAGGCTCGGCTCTGAACTGCTCAGCCCCCGTGACACTGCAGGAAAGAGATTTCCTCCTGGGTCCACAGGGATTTGCGGTTGAGGCACTCGTATTGGTACTTTGTGACACCAGCCCCCCTTCACCTGCCTGGCTGTCTGTTTCTTTGCAGGTGGCACAGAATCGCTCTCAGCATCCACAGGAAGAATGTCACCTTGATCCTGGACTGTAAGAAAAAGATGTCTACATCCCTGGACCGCAGCAACCACCCCGTGATAGACGTTAACGGCATCATCGTGTTTGGCACCCGAATTCTGGATGAGGAGGTGTTTGAGGTAAGCAGGGGCCGGCACCGTGTTGCCTGGATCCTGGCGCTCTGCTGGGGGCGGCGGGGGAGGGGGGCAGTGAGTATTGATGGTTTCTTTGAGATGTTCTGCTCCAAGGGGAAGCTGACAGATAAGGGTGGTGGCTGGAGGAGTCTGTGAGGTCCAAGGATGGTTTTAAGTTTTGAAGGTGGGAAATAGCACAGAAGGCTTCTGTGCTGATGGGACTGGTCCAGGAAAGAGAGCCATGGTGGCCCAGGAAAGGGTGGGGACAGTTGCCGGGGAACGTCCCCGAGCGGGTGCTGGAGAGTGGGGCACGGCTGTCCGTCGCTGGGGGCGGGGGGGGAGGGGGGGAGGGAACGCCTACCGATTGTCCTGCTTCTGTTAACGGCAGGAGTGATGTCTGCCGGTGGAGACGGGCGGGCGTTCGAACGGGCCCTCGGGCTTTGCGCCGGTGGGGAGGATGAGGTTTGGGTCTCAACTCTCTTGGGGGTCCTACTGGGGCCACGTGCGTAACTATGAGTGGTTCGGGGGCGGGGGAGCTGGCCTCGGTGCAGGCCCGCGGGGCCGGACTCTCCACTGTCTCGTTTGCTGATTCCGGGCCTTGGGCAGGTTGCTCTGACATTTCTGAGCCTCAGTCTCTCCATCTGTAAAATGGGATCACGCATGCAGCTCCTTCATAGAACATGGCAAGAATTACGTGGGGCTGAATGCTGTAAAGCACTACGGCCTCCTCATAGTAAGCGCTTGACGTGTGTCAGCCTTGATAGCAACCTAGCGTCGGGGCAGGTGGAAAGGTGGACAGAGCCCAGCTGGTCAGATGTGGCTGAGCAAAGGAAAGATCAGAACAGCCACCTCTACGTGGAGGGGGGGGTTGGGGGGATGGGTGAACCAGTGTGTGAAGGTGGGTCCGTGGGTCCTGCCGAAGTTGGCAGCTGCTCAGCACAGCAGCAGTCCAGGACGGCCGCAGCCTGTGGACAGCAGGGTGGGCTGGGCGCCTGGATTCTGCAGGCACTGCCAAATTTTGCGAGTTATGGCGACACACCCTCCGAGCATGACTCTGACCACAGTTGCCCAGAGACCCGGGATGAACTGCAGACGGCTGGGCTGTCCTCAGCCAGGCCTGAGCGGCTTTGGGGTCCTCCCGGGGAGCTACAGTCAAAGGCTTGGGGGTCACACCGACTGGGATTAAGTTTTTGCCGGTGTAGACCTCTTGCTGGTGGGAGGATCCAGGTAAGGCAGGTGGCTTTCGTGAGCTTCAGGACTTATTTGTAAAACATGGGTACTGGTAGCGTTGCCTCGAGAGGTGCCGGGGGCTCACCTGGGCTCATCTGAGAAGCGCTGGGCTTGGGTACCTGCTCAGCGCCCGGGAGCCTGGGTCGCTGCCGCCACCCTTGCTCGAGGTCTGAATGCGGAGGTGGGTCCGTGTGCCGAGGCTGGGGTTTGAATTCATGTACCGCCTGGTAGCTTTCCTGCGCTGTTGCCACATCTTCCTGATTTCTAGTGCCTTTTGTGTGCTTGGTGGTGTGTCTTTTATTGTAACGCTTCAGGAAAAAGCTTTATCTGTCTTTTAGAAAATTAAGGATCCTAAACCGAATCCTGCTTCCTTGATTTTCTGAGCCAGTTTTCCCATGAGCACAAGTCTGCTAAGACTCCGGTGCTGTAGAGAAAGCACTAGGGAAGTCAGGGCTGGGTAAGTCCCAGCTGCACTGTTTACATGCTGTGAGATCCTGGGTGACTGCCTCACCTCTCTGAAATGCTTGTGTGGGTGAGGTGTGTTTAGGGATCACCGAGGCATACGCGTGGCCCACGGCCAGCGTTCCGTAGCTGTTACCCACGTTTATTATTAGAGAAGGAAAACAATTTATAACGATCAAAAAGAAATGGTAGAGAAAAACAAATATCGTATATTAACGCATATATATGGGATCTAGGAAAGCGGTACAGATGAACCGGTTTGCAGGGCAGAAATAGAGACACAGATGTAGAGAACAAACGTATGGACTCCAAGGGGGGAACGTGGGGTGGAGGGTGGTGGTGGGATGAATTGGGAGATTGGGATTGACATGTACACACTAATATGTAGAAAATAGATAACTAATAAGAACCTGCTGTATAAAAATAAATAAATAAAATAAAATTCAAATAAAAAAAAAAAAAAAAGAAGAAATGGATCTCAAATCGGATAACTCTGGTTTCCTCCCCAGTTTAGCCTCCCAGCAAGCTGGGTAGGTCTTGCTGTGCGGCTGAGAGCATGCAGGCTTTTGATGGAATCCGTAGCTCCAAAATATGTACAGCATTCTGGGGAGCCCTTCCTCCTGGTCGTGGCTTTCGATTTGAGGGAGAGTGTCTGCCAGGCACCAGAGATTCTTGTTGACCACAAGCTGTTCGCGTTCTGAGGGAGGTGATTCCGTAGCCTTGGACTTCCCTGGCTGTTGGATGTGTCCACGTCGGAAAATGTGACCTGTCTTTCCTAATGAAGAGCAGTGAGCTAGAGGTGGTGATGCCCTCGGGGGCCCCAGAGCATCATTTTTTGCTTTTTTTATTCAGAGAGCAAGGATAAAGTTGGGTGGGTTGGCCTCGTATCCCCAGCCCCGCTTTGTCTCGTGGCGAGTGAAACAGAATTTTTATAAATAAAAGTGATTTAACTCTTGACTTTCCAGTAGGTTCCAAATAACGACACTTGGCATTTTTAACCACTTGGGTTTCTGGAGAAGTCTCTTTAAAAGGAGGGGCCAACACCATTGAAACCAATTCCCCAGCAGCTACGTTCTTCCGCGGGAAGGATGACTTCCCCTCATTAAAAGCCAATTTGTCCCGAAGCTCTTGGAGGCTCTGGGGGAGCCGGAAGGATTCTGGGTACTTTGGTGGAGGGCCAAGTCGCCGCTGGCACACGCTGAGTTTTGTGATGTGTGCTGTTTCCAAACAGGGGTTTACTGAACTCTAGAGAGTCTGTTGGACCCACTGGGGTTTTTCCTGGGGTGTCCGTGGGCCAGGGAGGAAGTGGGGTGCGTAGCAAGGTCCCCCAGGCCTTCATGTCCTTCCTCTCTGGATGATGGCCTGGAGCCCACACTGAACCTGTCCGAACCCAATGTCCTCATCTGTAAAATGGGCGCGACGGGGCCATTGCTAGGGGTCGTGGAGTGGCCCGATGGAATCTCTGTAAAATGCCTGCACCTGTGAGGACCATAGCGAACCACACCGACCAGACCCCTGGCAGTCAGAGCGGGTGGCCCACCGTCAGCATCCACCTGCATTTACCTGTCAACCATGGCAGCGGCTGTGACCAAGGTCCGCTCCCTCTGTGGTGGCACAGGGTCACGAGCTGTCCCTTATCTCACCGTGCGAGTTAGGTGCTAGACCTCCGCCTTAGAGATGAGGGCCCTGAGCCGTGCAGGGGGTGGAGCCTCCTGGGCTCACGGGGCCCCCCCCCCACTCCTGTGCCCAGAAACCCAAAGGGAAGGGACTAGCTGTGGGTCGTGCTGCCCTGGCCAGGGTGCATGCTCCCGGCCAGAGCCCCCAGACGGGGACTGTCCCTCAGGGTGCCATGGTGTGCTGTGGAAGGGGCTCGAGCTGGCTCCCTGGTCACTGCTTTGCCGCCCACCTCGCTGACCTGGCCAAGCCCCCGTCCTTGCCCGCCTGTTTCCAGGTGGAGTGTGGGCCCTACAGGGCTGCCTGAGGGCCTGCCTGCGGGGGGCGTCCTCAGTGATATTCCTGGGGAGCTGCGTGTCCTGTGTCCTGTCCCTTCTCCTGGGGTGTACCCGTGTCCTGGGACCAGTGAGCAGCTCGGGGTCCCGGGGCTTCATCCCACCCCCCAAGGGCCCGCCGTCGGGGGAAGTGGAGGGTATTCTTTGGACCCCTGTGAAGCGGGGTCCTGCGGGCCTCCCTGTGCAGGAGAAAGTGTTGTCTTCTCCCCGGGCTTAGGACAAGCTTTGTGTTTTCGGAAACAGACAAGGCTGCCAGGAGAGCGAGTGTGTCTGGCAGGAGGGGGAAGTGACTATATTTCTTCAGTGGCAAACCTGGGTGGGAAGCCAGGCAGGGCCACCAACAGGGCCCTGTGACAACACGCCGCCTGTGTGCTCTGCCCTCCCCGCACCAGAGAGGTTGAGTAACCTACCGAAGGTCACCCAGCAAAACTGCAGCGCAGCGGGGTTGGTCTGTTGTTGCTGAGAGCCGATGACCTGTCCTCATGTCATGGCGGGTGTGACAGTCACGGCAGCCCCTGCATCTCTCTATCCACCTGACCAAGGAAAGCAGGACCGTCCCCAGCCAGGGCGCATCCCGGGTGGTCCCGACAGTGCTGGTGGGTGCCTGGCCTTGCTCCAGGCTGCTCGGTTCCCATCGTCCTGCACAGGCCCCGGGGACACCGGAGTCCCCTGGCCTGTGGGGTCTGAAGCCCCGGACCCTTCCAGGAAGAGCCAGCACGAGCTGCTAGCAGGGGCAGTGTCTGCCAGAGCTAGCCTCCCCTGCGTGGCTGGTGGCCTGCACAGCACCCTTCCCCGGGCCAGGCTCTCAAACGTGGGACTGAACTGGTGGGCCCCGCACCCGCCCTGGGCTCACCTGCCGTCCTGGAGCCGGCCGGTGTTCCAGATGGAGGGGTCCGGAGGGTGGGACTGGGGGGCAAGCCAGAGCCTGGTGCTTGGCCGGGGGAGGGCATCTGCTCTGGGTTCTGCAGGGGAAGGGCCCTCCTCTTGGGTCCTCGAATGGAGGGGGATCACGGAAGAGGAGACCTGCCCTGGGGGACGGGGAGCCGGTGAGTTCTGGGCCAGGAGCCAAGTCTTCTTTTAAGCTGTTGAATGTTTCAAGGGGCAGCAAGACCAAACAAACTGCAAACTGGAGCTTTTCTCCGCGGAATCCCCGGGTGCTGGCAGGGAGAGAACGGCATTGCGTTCAAGTCACGGTCCTGCCATCTGTCTGCTCTCCTCGGCCGTTTGGAAAGACCCAGTGGTTTACTTAATCCCTGATTCCCTTTTTCCAGGGGCCTGTCTTTTCCACTGGCATGGTCTTTCTTG